AAATTAATGTATTTATCAGTTATTCGTATGGGTTAGATGAATAAATGATAGACATATTGCATGATAGATATAACCAAACCTGTATTTGGTTAAAGAATATAAATAACCAAAGACAGATATTTAAAAAAAATGTAATATCCCCAGTATAGGTGAATTAAAGGTCAAATCATTTATTCAACCATTTAACCAGGTCATCAATGATGTAATTAAGGTCTTCATACCTAGGGATGTTACGGTTGCCCTAGGCTGGGTGAGGGTTGGACCGATTAGATGTCCTGGTTCCCAATCCTGGAAAGTAACAGCGAAGCTCCAAACAGCATCCAGCGATAATCCTGAAAGTGTGAAGACATCCAGCTAGCTATAGGTAGCTAGTATAAAGCATTTCCCTACAACACGAGTCGAGGCTGTGAGTTGAGGGTAAGAAGAACTGGTTTATTGATCACTCATGCACTGCTTGAATACATATTTTCAGGCCAGAGGAACACCCGGGAACACACACAGGATTACAAAGTGTAGCAGCCAATAAGAACAAAGTGCATTTTCTAAAACACTCCCTCCTAGCCTGGAGATAATTGGTCTCAACGGTTACAGTAACTCAATTATCTCCAGGTACATGAAATAACATAACTTTTATGGACACATGAAAAATGAATACAAATATATAATTTTTACACCATAGTCTTTACATGCCACATTCAACCCATCCCCAGACAGCTTGGTCCTCAGCGCACAAGATACACGAAAAGCGCTCAGATCTCACGAACAGCCCCGACAGGTAGACTGGGCCCCAGAGTGTGAGTAGGCATTCCAAGCCCTCAAGAACGCCTTGGTGATTGCCCCTGTCCTAGCTGCTTCTAATGCCAGATTTTTTTTTTCTGTTCACACAGATGCCTCAATGTTTGGGATAGGAGCAGGTCGGCAACGATGGCGGCAAACACCCCGTGGCTTACCTCAGCAGGAAGTTACTATCCAGGGAGGTAAGCCAAGCCGCCATTGAGAAGGAGTGCCTGGCGGTGGTGTGGGTCCTCAAAAATAACTACAGCCCTACCTCTACGGACAGCAATTCTCCCTGCTCACGGATCATAACCCGCTGGTATGGCTTAACTGGGTCTCGGGGAACAATGCCAGGCTGTTGCAATGGAGCTTGGCGCTACAAACTTATGACTTTACCATCCATTACAGACCCAGTAAGCAAAACAGCAATGCCGACAGACTATCGAGACAGAAAGCCCTGGAGAAGAGATCCGTGAGCACTCACCCGGACATACCCAAGCCGATCAGTTGGGATAAGACTGTGTATGCCGGCTTGTGATTACGCTATATGAACGCCGTCCAGGGGGAGCATTCGCGGATTGGTTACTGAACGAGGTCCTTCCCAGTGCCCCTTGGAAGGTTCGCACCAATCAATTAAAACGTTGTCAACTTGCAACATAAGTGTGAAACAGCAAGGGAAGTTGTGGTGAAAGTGACCTCACCACTGGTTTTTAGAGGGGCCTGTTTGCCCGCCTCCTACCTTCTGACTATGGACCCTGGGAGAGTTTGCCTTTTATAACCATTGTTTGTGCTTATTGGATTTTGGGACACTTTTTCTGCCCCTTTGAATCCATGGGAAGGTGTGCCACCCCCCTCCCTCCTCCCCTCTCCCCCCCATTGTTCTCCAGCAGGGCGTTGTCCCAGAGACACTGCCAGTCCAGTTGGAACTGGCTGATTTGTCCCTCCTTGGTCAAAAAGGACTTCCAACTAACTTTTTAACCACTGAAGGGAATTGTCTGACTTTTGGATATGTTTATATTTGAAGTGTGCTGATTAATAATATGTGTTATGGAGATTGGATGTATATTTTAGAAGTCATAAGAATTGTGTAAAAACTGTATTTTCCTGCCTGTGATAATTACATTAACCCATTGTGTACAATAATTATATTACAGGCAGGGAGGAGGGTTTGTTTGTCCTCACTGGGAGTGTTTAACTGTTTTATAGTGTATTTGATTGGCTGTGCTACAAAACCATGTGGGTGGCAACATTGTGTA